AAAAGCATGTTCTCTGAGGAAGTTGACTCAGCCTAAAAAAAAAAGCTCATATAAAATACAGTCAGGAAAAACTCCCTATCATCATTATTCAAGTATAAAGCAGTCACTTACGATTTATTAATACTGTACATAATAAAATCTGCAACATACCTACCTGAACTTACAAAGGCCTCACCTGATGCATAATACTACAAAACAGATTCATCATGGATGCTCATGTCCTAAGAAGTCATATGTCAAGTCACATACATCCAGAAATTTGAGTAAACTAATTTGTATAAATAGTTTGTTGTATGTACAGTCAAAGAAAAGTTTCGCTTTACACTTAATGTGCTTTGTGTTATGAAACCCAAGACGAAGACTTTGGGTAAGTTCCCCTTTTGACTTGAACCTCGAAGTTTAGCTGTCACTTTCCCCAAATTCTTTGTTATGGGTTTCGGAACCTAACACTAGGGGGTGAACACGACTTTTTTCTCTGCCAGCACATAAACCAAATTCTGTATGGATAAGTAAACCAGAAGTCCAATCAGTAGAGACAGTTTCACTACACAATTTTCAAATTTTATTTTCCAAAGCACACACAACACTTTATATATTTCTAAAAAGAAACTCAAGTCACAAACCAAGATTATGTGCTTCTGAACCTCTAAGACTAAATATACTTACACTTAGAAAGATTAATACTGTATGACCATGACAAATGATCTGTTCACATACTGAGAGTGACATAACCCATTCCCAATCAAAAGTTTCAAAAAAAATTGAAAAGCTCAGCTTACAGTATGTGTTTTGACTTAAACACATATACCCTTGGTAGTTGGGACAAACCAACAGGAATCCATTGGGGCCCTACACAAATAGAACATCAGTACCTACACAGTGAATAAACATGACAGATCAGCCAGAGAACACAACTCATTACATAAACAGAATGTAATTGCACAAAAAGACTGTGTGGGATGAGGTCTATGTAGCCAAGACATTAAAAATCAAACAATCAATCAACCTCATAAATTTCATACAGTGTTGAAAAGGGCAGGCTTTGTGTTTTGGCAATATGTCAGAGGCAGGGAATATGTGAAAGTAAGTTTGGAACCAAAGTTTATACCTCAGGTGTTTGAGTCAAAGAAATCACCGCCAAGGTTTGTCAAAGTGTACCTGCTCATGCCGACTCACTGAAATCATTGCTCACTTGAGTGCCTTGCTGTTGTCCAGCAATTTACATTCACCTGTGAGGATAATGTCCCTTTTCCACAATAGGTAAAGGTGGCTCAGCCAGATAGTTCTGGTAGGCTAATCTAAGACACCACTTGTTAAGGTCATGAAACTAAAGTTCATGCAGAATTGTCAGGGTCTTTCTATATGTTTAAAGTTAAACTGACCCTCACTGTCTAATACTGTACAGTACATCTTTATCTAGGCATGTAGTTAAGCTTAGAAATACTGCAAGTGATTTTTTATTAATCTTTAGCTACATATTCATAGTACAGCATTTCTCAAAACAAATACAGTGCGAGATACAGTACTGTACCTTCAACCTAAATGACCAATGAGCATAGTTTTTATGTCAGATGTTCCAAAAATTATTATTTTTCAGTTATTATCAAACATAGTCATAGGCTTATGCTACTCAATACAGTACAGTATTGTAGTTCATGAATCATTGCATATTTCTATATCACTTTATTTACAGTACATTATACTGTATATTAATAAGGTGAAGTGAAATGAAAAATATACAGTTGTTCATTCACAAGAATTGGTGTTGAACAAGGTGCAGCTTTTATTGTAAGTACAGTACAATGCATCACTGTGTCTGATTATGCTGATATATTGTTCTATCAGTAACTACTGTACTAGGTGCTTTAAGCAAAATTTGGTTATGTGAAAGTTAGTGCTGATTACAGTATAAGACAATTCTACAAATTCTAATTTTAGGAACCGTTTTAGTGTCTCTAAATCAAGGTTACTAAAATATTAACATTAAATCCTCTTGGAAATATTGGAGTAAGATTACTGGTCAAATAGCATTTCTCTTTATCACTTCTGACATATCTAAAGCCTAAGAAATGGGAAGACTCTGATCTATTAGACACTTAAGAAAAAAAATTGTTTTGAATTTTATCGCTATGAATCCAGGGAAGCCATCAATAATAAGTGAAGTTATGGTGTAAGTTGGGGTTGAGTAATGCTCAAAGTTAATTCAATATGAGATCAAGATCAATTGAAAGTTAACTACTCCTGTGCTAATCTAACCTTACCTAACCAAACTTAAAGGTTAACCCCCAGCTTATTTTGCCTGAAGATTAATCACCCTATCACTAATCAAACATAATTTTACATATCCAAATCTATCCTAACCTAAGCTAAACTATCGTTACCTAATCTCTTTTTTCTTTTTTTTAGCCCACCCGGGCAAAGGTCACTGACCCACAATGGGGCCTGGGGGGCAAAAATGTAATAATAATAAAAATTATAATAATAATTAGTTCAAAGTAAATATAATTTATAATAAGAAATATAAAATAAAAAATAAAATAGTAATTACAATAATAACACTGATAATAATAATAATACAGTATAATAAAAAAAAAATAATAATAATAATTATGCTGTAATAATAATAAAGAACCATAAAGAAATACAAAATGAAAAAAGATCAAGAGTGAGAAATGATTTATGTATGTTGTGTTGTCAATGGTAAGAGAAACAATTAAGACCCTGCAATTGTGTGTAAATGAGGCAAAAAGTCAGATCAACAACCTGGGACTTGGTCACAATTTTTGTGATGCCATATGGCAGCAGGGTTTACCACTAGACAATACATTATGCTTCCAATATCTTCCCAGGCGGTAGTACCTCCCTGATTGGTAGCTGCCTACTACCTGGGGAGGGGGGCAACTATTCAGGCCTGTAGGACAGACCCTAGTCCACAGCTGGATGATGTCCTCCTGTTGTATGTAAAAATTCCTTGGCCACTCAAATATCCCATCTCACTTTTCAGCCATCCTCTTGTGACTGTAACTTGTATTAAAACCATAAGTACTGTATATATTAAGGCTTACTGTTTGCAGAAGAAAAAAAAAATCAGTCCTGAAATAAACTACGGTATACAGTATAGAATTTCCTGTAAATTTTACATCATTATACCGTACTGTATATTTCTTGATGCTACGAGGTACAGTATTCAAAGGCTTAGGTTTGAAAAGATTAATAAAGCACTTTTCACTGCTCATTAAAGACGACTCAAACATTTTTCTGTAATCATTTATTTTTTCATAATTAGTTCTATTTTCTGTACTGTATTTAAATCTATTTTCTGCAATCAGTTCAAGTCTACAACAACAATTTTCCATTCTGTGAATACTGATTTACCATATACATCTTGTTAACTAATACCTAACAAGCATGGTCAGTGTTACTTTTACTAATGCCTAATATCATTCAATATGTACATGTTTGCATTTTTTTTTGGCCGAGTACAGTAAAGGCTATGGAATATACTGCAGTAAAAAAAATGCTCTACCATGGTGCAATACTATATTCTGGTTAAGTTAACACAGCTTAATGGTTTTTACTCAGTCATATCATGGCACTCACTGTGCTTGTGTGTTGTGAGCGCCGTGGCGTGACTGAGTGAAAACTGTTAAATACCACTGATGGATAACACGAAGCAAAGCACACAAACACAACCCACAAAGCACAACACAACAAACACAATGAGCACTATGGCATGATTGGATGAAAACTGTTAAACACCACTGATGGGTCACGTGATAACTGATAATTCAGCATCATGTCACATTAGGCTACATTTATGCAAAATATTAGGTTCCTAACTGATGTAGTTTTTCTACAATTACAGTAAAAGTAGTGCCTCAACATATAATTTTATTGCCTGCCTGTACTTCAAAGGTCAATCCCCTCAAAAAAAAAAAAAAAAATTGTGACCAGCAGCGATGAGGAAAACTATTGTTTTCAGTTTCCCAATCAAGAAATTCTTTCTAAGTATTGGACATTCATAAATCTTCAACTTGAATTTTTCTCTAGTAATTCAGTAAACTTTTTAAATCTGGCACTTAATTAACCATTATTTTCACTCAAAATAAATTCATTTTGAAGAAGTCATAATAAAGAGACTGTAATTGGCAAGCTGCAGAAAGCTCCAGCATATCAACTGTTTGCTCATGTGGTAATGGTACCATCACTCTTTCTCTAGCCTTGGTGAGATCTCATTCTATTTCCTTAATTTTTTATATACAGGCAGACCTCTTATAACAGAACCTTGTGTAACTTATTTTCACTTAACAGACATTATGGATGTGAACATGTACTGTAAGTGATATGGAGAGCATCAGACAGGTGTCAATTAGCTTAGTTCCTCTATCATTAAATCAACACTATGTGTCTGACAAAATTAACTGGGAAGTACTGATTAAATTTTTTTTCATGTTATTTATAAGAAGTTACAACACCTGCTGAGACATTACCATTACCCAGGGAAGGTGTTTTGTAGTATTTATAGTATAAGAACCAACACTGCTACGAACTCATCCCTATAGGCATCATGTTTTATGAAATTTTTAACAGAACACTGTTCTGTAATCGCTTTATAGACACTCCTCAAGAACATATCTTGTCCGTTACAAGAGGTCTGCCTCTATACATTTTTACATACTGAATATAAATACCATTATGTATTAAAAGTTAGTTTTATAGAAAAGAAAGCTTAGTACAGTACATTAACAGGGTATCAAAACCGATCAATTTAGTAACTCCATACTCTCAAAAGATTGACATTGTTTGAGAATCTGGTATGGTCTCGATTCACCCTTCAAAGGGCAAAATAGCCCCGAGGTATTTTATTCTGGCTAATGCCAGATGATTTTATTCAGCCGAGTAAAACCCCTGCCTCTTAAAGGAATGAAGTGTTTCCCATACATCAATATTTTAAAATCTATTGTGAATTTCACAATATTAGTTTTCATAAAAAACAAAACTCAAATTAAAATTTTTATTAGAAAACAAAAATCATATATAAACCAGTGACTTAAATAATCATAAAATTAATCTCGACTAACTATTATATTCACAATGGAGTAGATACTGTACAAAAATGCTATGCTCATATATAAGTTTTCTTAACCCAAAATTACAAAAATTAAATATAACTTCATACTATGGTGAGTGGTATCCTCCAAGGAAAGGTAAGGAGTAACATATTAAATTCAGAACCATTGAATAACATATCAATTCTACTAATACTGTAAGGGAAACACAACCATTTAAGCTTAAAAAATATCCCATTGATTAAACTTAAAAATAAACATATTGAAATGCTCTACTGATAAATTCAAGCACAGTGGCCTTATTCATTACCAGCTGCCAAAGACATTACTTCACACACATGCACTCTGAGGTAAGAATGTGTTGATTTGGTAGCAGTAGCAAGTTCATCCTTTCCAATCTGCGACTGATATAAAAGTGATAATTTCAATCAAAAAAGGAATTAAGTGTTTAACAGCACATAAGATCTATCAAGACAATGCTCAATAGAAACACTGCAGTACTGAATTTCATGGCTAATGTTTAACTTCCCACGAGTAATTCCCTCTTGCAACACCAGTGAAATACAGTGCTCCCAACGTATCTTTGTTTATAGTGAAATGAGGCAATAGATCTCTGGATGAATGTCATAGTGCTCACAAAATCCAATCAAGTGGCACTCGGTCCACTGGCTCTCTCCGATCATCATGACCTCATTTATTAGTTTGGGACAGAGCTGCTTCACCATCCTCACTAATGCCACCTGCTACCTAAGGTTCTTGTTCACTTGTTGCTGCTTGACACCACAATGCATGAAGCCTACACGACCTCACACAAAGGGCTAGAAAACCAACCCCTTTCCAATCACTAAAACCTAACAATGATTCATAGACAACTTGTATGTTAACTCTACGTTTCTTCTCCTATTTGTACTGAAAGCTTTTGTTAATACCCCACTCTCCAATGTCACTATATACAGTTTATAATAAATATACAGTGTATAATTTGTCAAATTTGGAATTCTTTTAATATATCGTCAATTATTACTCCTACACATACAGGCAATATTCTGTATAGAGAAAAATAGATATTAATATCCGTTGTGGTCAACTGCCATTGGTAACCTGAAATCTTCTGTACTATTAGTCATTTCATAAAAAATGACTTCTCACCACTGGACTGTCCAAATTGATAAAGGTTGGTTGTTTTATCCTTCTTCGGTAGCTTAGGATTGCAGCCATACTGTTTACATCACAAGAGTCCAAACATCATAGAAGTCACTGTAAATGTAACACACATTTAGCTTCTGAGTCAATTCAGTTTTTAGCATTTGACTGTAATTTAACAGCATAATTGCAGTTCAATTAGTTATAATAAGCACATTGAAGATACTATACATCTAGACTCTTAAAGTATCTGAATAATCCCAGGGATTGGACCTATGAATTATTACTTAATTATCAATACATAATGAGGTTAGATTTTTCTCTAAATAGAGCACTGCAGAGATAAGTGTGCAACAGCTGAGTGGCTTTAGTGCTTGACTCTGTTCTGAAGGTCACTGGTTTGCAATCGAGGCACAGGGCACCCCCAATCCACCCAGGTGTGAATGGGTACCAAAATTTAAGTTGAAGTGAAGGGCAATACCGTACAGTGTCTCCTTGTGCATCATAAAAAGGCTTTGTGTTGTATTCACTGTACTGGTGGAAGTTTTTTAATATAGAACACTACTGTATACCATTATGTAGAGAAATTTTGGGGTGAAAACTTTAATGAACTTAGTTTTACACAAAGAAAATCCACTAGCCTGCTTGTGATGTGAAGTTTAGAAAGTCCATTACAAAATTAGTTTTCATAATTCATTTACTAAGACTATGATACATGAAGCCAATTCATTTCTTTTATTTAGATTAATATTATTATAATCAAGTAACTTTAATATGTTTTCAAACTTGCACATATATTTTATGTAATGTGTTGAAATGTGCAGCTCTGAATGATACGTGGACAGATTAGTCCTTTCACTGGATACCATTCTTCTTACAGCACTAGAACAATATCCACCAGTCTCACACACATCCACAGTACAGCAACTATGATCCTCATATATAGAAAATGTAACAGTTTCATGATTGGTGAATTATACCTTTGTAGTTCTTGTTAAATTAAGGATCATAACAACACTGAGAGAAGACATCACTCTCAAAACTTAACTTTACCAATGTACAGTACAGTAGTAACATACAATAAATATGCACAGACAAGGTAAAGATAGACTTACTGTAAGTCACTGAAAACATCTAAAAATCATTACTAGCGAGTAGTGCCACAAAGTGGACTTCATTAAATATATTCTCTCAATTAGCTACCAAAGCATTCTCAAACTCTCAATGATATGTTATACAAGCAAGCTATTTTTTTATTTAGCCATCAATAAATGCATATACTGTAAAAAAAAACACACCATGAAAACAAATGGTTCCCACTATATTTCATTATACTGTATTATATGTGGTTAATGTATCATTTCTAACTGGCTCATAGCCTCTTAGGTAGCTGGGAGGAGTCAACACAAATTTACAAAAAGGACACTGAATCAGTTACTTTAAATATCTTCAAACTACTGCAGTAATAACAAAACTTATTTTGAAAATTGGCCATGAAGAAGAAAATCTTAAGAGATAGCCTTTACACAATGAAGGCTTGAATACAGTATATACTGTACATGCATTACAAGCTTGTGTTGGTATGGAAGAAAGGGAGGGATGAGAGTAGACATGACTCTTTAACACTTGTTTGCATAGATGTCAACCCTCCCAGTTTGACTAAAACATGTTTGGAGGTTTAACTTAAGAAAAAGTGAGAGAAACTTATTTTGATCTTTAAATTGAAGTTTCAAGTTCAAATATCTGTAAAAAAATCCAGAATAAGTATCATTCACTTCCTCTTATTAGTGTAGAACAGCAGTTAACAGTGTACTGTAGGATAGCATCACCAAAAAATATAAATGTGATGCAGCATTTACCATTAGTGAGATTATGCAAGGTACACTCTACTGTTTTATACACTCCTGCACTTATAGGAAAAACAAAACAAAAACATTCCTTTAATACATTAGTTTCCAATACACCCATCCGATATTAAGATACTGAAATATAAATACATATTCGGTACTATTCAAAACAAGTGTTGTGTTTAACATAGGCATATAGTGTACAACCTCACCATAGCTTACACAGTACACACACACTAATATTCCCCCCTACAGCACATTATTCTTCAGTTTTATCATTCCAGTGTGTTTGTGTATTTTTACATTTATTATGAAAGCAAAAATTATAAATGGAATTTGTGATTTGTTACAATTATGTTGGAAAAACTGCCCAGTTCACCTTTAATTTTCCCATTAAAGGAATGGAAATGCCCTTCCGAAAGTTTATTTTGAAACAATGTTTTTCTTATAAATAAAGGAATAGCTGTGAACCCATGGAAAAATACACTTGTATAACACTTTCAAAAGTTTTGCTTATGGAGCATTAAAAATAAATTCCCAGTCTAAAATTCATAATAAATAACATACCAACCATTTCACTGTCTAAACACCTGGAAATGAAATTTAACTTCTAAGTTTCCTGGTATACAGACCAATGGTGTGGCTCCCTTTTGTGACAAATGTTGAAATTTAGCTACAGTCAGTCCCTTTTATTTGTCGTTTCGCATATTAATCGCTCATCAGTAGGAGAACAATTTTCCTTATGTCCCACATTTGATGTTTGGACTACTTGCCATGGAGCTATAATAAGTCAACATGTGCAATACTTCCACAGTACTGTATTATTATTTTGTGGTCCACAGGGGATTTTGTTTATAATGGGTCAAATTTTGTAAGTAAGAATGAAATACTGTACTACATTTACAATAATTTTGCATTTATTATACTGTACTGTATCTAGATGTAAAGAAGTGCAGTGTATCTGAGACTTTGGTGTTTTATCCTGCAACACCTGTTAGTGATACCATGGGCCTAAACCATGTCATGAATAAAGAGTGAGCCTGAGCATAAGAGGAAAAGAATAAGTAGAGCATTAAGAGTTAAAGTTAGAAATTTATAAAGAACCGAAAGAGAGAGAGAGAGAGAAATAGTGTGTGTGTTTTTGTGTGTTTTGTTTTCCTTTTATTTACATTTGTTACTTAATTTAAATTTGGGTACAGTACAATAAATTATGCACAGCATATAGCTGCAATGACTTTAGAGCATAAACCAGCCCTATTACATTACTTATGACAAAAACTCCCCCTTTTCGTTGCACGAGTGATGGTAAGTGATGAATTGGAAAGTAACTCTCCTCATTCCATTATATGTTATGGGGAAAATTCCACGCTGTTTGTCATTCATTCCCATTTTTTAGGAAGCAGCCCCGACAAATAACAAGGACCGACTAAAGGCATCAAAATTACATGTTCTATACAACATCTGATATTCCCCGATTGTTACTCAATCCATAACTTCAATAAAATTAAGTACTATACAGTACATTAAAGAAGGATGAAATTCTTAACACAAAATTACTGTACAGGTATATTTACTGTGTGTGTGCATGAGTGCAGCCTTTCTGTATCTTTTTTTTTCAAATAATGAACATCAAAATGAAGAGTGAATGATAACTTCTTCCTTGTCAATAAATTAATCATTTCAGAAATGTATAGACCAGAAACATCTAACAAGTTTCATTAAAAAATAGTTACAATGATATCCCCGTTAGCCTGAATAATTGGAACAGTGGTCTTCTGGTAATGAGACGACTTTCTCGTTCCCAGAAAATATCGCACATTCCGGAGTTTTTCCTGGTACAGGTACTGGCAAAAATGATTCTGAGATTCTATATTATGCATCTCGGGCAGACAGACACTATCACACATCCCCAGAATCTTTCTCGTTGTTGTGGAAAGTTTTCCGAGTCTAAACTAAGCATTTAATGCCGCACGGACAAAAACCCTCCCACCATTGCATTTAGGCCATGGGTATGAGCAAAAATATTTGGAGCCCAGCAAGTAAAAGATAGACGACTCACATGATCTAAACTCATTAGTCTCTCCTTCCTCTGTAGCAATGTGCAAAAATATATACTTAATCAAATTTGAGTTAAACATGGAATTAATCTCAACACGTTTATTACATCATAACACGGCATTACTTTATATACTTTTTTGTGTGTAGTGTATTTTTCTGTTTAAGTCTTTACATTGTTAAATAAGTGTGTACATTTGGACTGTATTACGAACACATAAGTTATCATTAAAATTTGGCTTAAAAAACTTCTTCAGCTATACTGTCTTAAAATTTTCATTGTCACATCTTTGGTAAGACTCGGCTGTTAAGATTAATAATCAAATTACACAAACAAAATTTTAAGTGTCATTTTGCTGTTTCTGAATCACTTTTACAGTATACAGTGGTCCCTCGGTTAACGAACATAATTCGTTCCAGAAGGTCGTTCGTTAACCTAAAATTTCGTTAACCGAAACCATTGTATCAATGGAATTTTGGGTAATTGGTTCCAGCTCACCGAAAATTACATACAAAGTAAAAATAAATGCAGTAAAGTACACTTACTTTGAGGTGTGTATGTAGAAGGCTCCTGGTTGATGATGATGATGGGCATTAGAAGTGGGGGTGGAGAAGGGAGAAGAGAAGGAAGCAGGGGTGGAAGAGAAATCACCCCATGCTTCATGCCGTCATTTCACCCATAAAATTTTAAGTTCACTAGTTGTGTAATTCAAGACTATTTTCTTTAAATCAACAATGCACTATATATTGTCAATATGTTAAATAAATTTCAGAATGACCAATAATTGTACTGTAAAAACATAAAAATAGTTTATGTTCAAGGGAGTCTCAAGCAAGATGTTACCTCTACTGACCAGAGATACAAACTGATGCCTGTCTGGTGAGTTGAGTGGTTGTTTGGCTCACTAAAAACTAGTTTCCTGTACTTCAATTATGTTAAATAATTGTTAAAATGACTAAAAATTTTAATATAAAACTTGGAAAATTATTGAATAGTACAACCTTCTTGATATTTACTCAAATGGGAATGAATTTAAGCCTTAGAACCGATTACTGTATTGGCGGACTAATATTCCAGCTGATGAGCAAGCGAAAACATGTTGAGAGGAATTCGTAAGGAATTCGTTAACCATATTTTTTTCGTTAACCGTAAGGTAATTCGTTAACCGAAATTTCGTGAACCGAGGCGTTCGTTAACTGAGGGACCACTGTAATAAAAAAAAGTAGAGAGAACAATATTACAAACAAAACAATTGCCCATTTGGCATTTCCTTAATCACGGAGATGGTTGAAGATGGCAAAACAGTCAGCAAGAACAAGCAATTGACAAAATTTTGCTGGCTAGAAGATATGTAATATGAAGAGATCAAGATACTGTACCATCTGACTCCTTTATAAAGCATGCACTGAGGCCTCATCAATCTAGTACTTTACAGTATTCACAATTTGATATTTTTTGTTTAGTTCACATACAATTTCATGTTACTTTTGCAGCCATTCCTCTGTATGAAAGGAATTCTTTTGAGAGGAATGGCTGCAAGAGTAACATGAAATTATATATACAGTACTGTACAAACAATATCTTTGTCAGCCGGAATCCCTCAAACCCAGAACACTCTTAGAGCTGGAATTGAAATTTTCTCAGAAAATCGTTTCCAAATCCGGACTTTTCGGAAAAATATAGCTATGGGAATGATTTTCTGAGGGGCACATTTTCTGGAAAATTCCGAGAAAATTTTCCCGATACCCGAAAAATTCCGGGGATGGAGGATATTTTTCCTGGTTCGAGTGATGATGTAATGTGCAATTTCTGGAACCCGAGAAATTTTTTCCATTACCCGGAAAATTCTGGAGATGCAGGATTTTTTCCGGCTTTGAGAGAGTCGTCTCGTTACCCTGAAATCTCTCATTCTTGGAAGTGCTCTGCACCAAATATTCAAGCTAATGGATATATATATGTTGCAGTCAAACCGTGTAATCAGGTATTTCATGAAATGACTGAAGAATTTCTGTCAATTAACGAAATGAATGTTTCATGCAGGTCAGAACCAGATTAGGTTAGATTAGCTTAGGTTTGAAGTTAAGTTTAGGTCTGATTAGGTTAGGTGAGAATAGATTCGGTTAGGTCCTAACCTAGCCAAATTGAGTGAAACATTCAATTAGAAATTTAGAAAAAAGCAGTTTCAGTTTCACTTACGTAATAATATTTCATCAGCCTTACTTATGACTGCATAAATCCTACAGATCAGCAAACTCTTCAGATTTTAAACATTTATATTACTTACATCTACTGGGATATGTAAATTTCTTTCAGAATGTTTTGACCTCATCAGCTCCTTGCGGAAATATCGAACAGTTTTCTCAATGCCTGTCTGTAGTGACACCTGCAAACAAAATGAAATAAATATAATACCAATACACACACCAATGAAGAGTGCTTAATATCATATTATAAATGCCATATATACATATGAGACTTAGGTGTTTCAGAGTACTATAGTATTTCCAAGCTAACCTGCCCTCTTCTATACTAATAGCAGATTGGTTCATAGAAAATTGAAACTAGATGTGTTCACAATTGGTAAGCAGACCCGTTATTATCTAAAATAATGTTAAACATCCAAATTATCAAAATTCAAATGATTTCAAGGCATTAACACTTCAGAGAAGATGTTAGAAAATTTTAAATACTCATTATAAAAGGTTGATACAAATACGCGCTTATACGTACACACGCAGTCCGGGGAAGGTAAAACGCTCAGGGAACCAATCAGCTATTTTTAGCTATAGATGAGGGACGTGGCCTACGGGCCAGGTTAGCGTGGAAAGGGTATAGTGACACATCAAATAAGAGAAGCAGAGATGGATAACTTGAGAGGCATTACAGATGTTTGGAGGAGGTAACTCAGACTTAACAGGTAACATATCAACCACCTGTCTGTTCTCAAAATTACCCAACCCAGACCTAATATTAAACACAAAGGAGTGCATAATAAACTCTCAAAGCGAACATTATTCTGTGTGCCCCCTAACCAACGCATACAAAATGGATGTTTTCTGACATTCCATTTTATATCATAATATATGCTCTTGAAATCCTTGGGCCATGCAACTGGAAAAGAACCACCATGAGACACATTGAGCTACAGTAGGCACTTCTTAGCAAAGACATAACTGCTCTCTGCTTTACATATATCCTCTCTCTATGGCCTCATATTATGAATATGGTTATAAGGGAAGAGTATGGCTATGTGTAGGTTAATTCCATATCTGCTGATCAGGGATTAGTTTGTTCTGAAACCCTAGACTAGGCTGGCTGGAAAACAAAGGTTCCTCAGGATGATGACTACATTATAAAATGCAATATGGACTATGCAATACGGAATTAAAAAGATCCCTAACTGCCTCTACTTAAAACCATTTAAGATACTAGTGTACCAAAGGAACTACAGTAAAAAAAAAAAAGGCAAGACTTATTATCCTCAAGGATCATCTAAAAACAGGCACAAAACATCCTAAATTCTCTTTCCATCATCACACTGGTTTCATCAGCTATGATAAGCACAAAACTGGCAATTAGGCTGCAAAATTCTTCACTTTTTCTTCCCTGTGCACTGTTCCTAAGTACTGTATAACTGTTGGCCTATCTTCATTTAGTCATACACTGTCAATTGTTTTACAGACATTTTCCACACTTGCATAGGTTAGCCATGATTAACTGATGGAATCTCTCCAAGCTACAGAGTCACTTGCACCCTCTCAATTCAGTTTCTCATCAGAGATAACTTACAACCCTTCCCCATGTCCATCTTGCCCTACCACTAGCTCTCCTTGCCTTCGCATTTACTCATGCATCTTGTGATCCAATTGGTCTTCTTCATTCTTTCCACATGACCAAACCATCTCAACTTACATCTATGTAAGCCTTGCCATATTAGGCTAATGTAACTCACTACTGTAACTGTTAGTGGTGTCTACCAGTGTGCAAGAACATTCTAAATGATTACAATTATACTTATATGTAGGCTTAACACTTACTGAGGGCTCCCAACCAAGGACATGCTTGGCTCTTGTGATATCTGGCTTACGTCTCTGGGGATCATCTTCTACAGCATCTTTGTTAACAATGTGACTTTTGCCACCCACCATCTTGTGGATGATCATAGCAAATTCTGTAAAGAAAAACACCTGCAAGTTCTCAGAAGTTCTTGGATTTGTAAAAAAAAATTATTTTTGGTTTTCATCTCAATGTATTTGTGCAATCATTTCTTTATGATTAATATCTCAATAAATTTAATTTGATAAATATATCATCTTGACTTGACTTTTTTATGATCTCTTTAAAGTTGTCAGAAATAAAGCTAAATATATAAGCACCACTTTGCCAAGACTGTTGATACCAGTGTGTTATTGCCTTACCGAAGCTTGTGTAAGGTCTCTTCATGAGGAATACTGAAACTGTAAATAATGTACAATGAGAGACAAAAGTCGTGTCATGAAATTTGGTGAAACCATATGCCGAAGGGCTAAACTTTTGGTGAGCTCTGCCTTGTGGTGGGGGGGGCTCTCATAATGTTTCACGAGTTATATTTAATCTTAGGACAAAACCGTGACACGACTTTTGTCTTTGATTGTACATAATTCAGCACAAATTAGGTTCTTTGGGGGGAGTAAAACATTATATATTGTGGAGTTATATGTTTGAGTTGCAGGAACCTAACTGCCTATTTCCATACGTGGATGACTTTGCTTGTTTACAATTTGCAAAAGTTTGAGACATTTTCAGAGTGAATCATTACTATAACTTGTCAAACTATATTTCAGCGCAATTTTATTTTTTTCCAATCAATTTGATTGGAAAACAACATTCTGAAAAACTCCAAGACATGTTTTCTACATATGGGATTTGTCTTTAATTTATTTCAAATTTGTGGTCAAAACCCCCAAAGTAATCATCTATATTACCAAGAGAGTAAGTATAGTATATATAGTAGACTTGGAAGAAAACTTATGTCTATTACTTGTAAATGTTGGAGTGTTGATGTGTGGACCACTGTTTACAGTTGCTCACCAGGGCTAGATGATCTCACATTCAGTTGATCATATTAACTGCTGGAAAAATGGTGAACTGCTAAATTAAGTTAATTTTACAACAGAACAAGCTTACCTGTAATAGTATGTTCCTCAGGGTTGCCAAGGTTTACTGGGAGAGAATAATTTGAGTTTTGGAGTTTAATTAATCCATCTACCAAGTCACTCACATATTGGAATGACCTTGTTTGTTTTCCTGAGCCATATATCTGTGAAAATAATAACAAACATTATAATTTATTTCTAAAAAAGAAAAATAAGTCTACAGTAATTTATACTTACTGTATACTAATAGCATAACACAAAAAGCACATCAGAGACTGAATAGTGAAAACAGATAAAAAACAAACCTAAATGTACTATCGTGGACAAAAGTTCACTCCTTCCCAAACTGAAGCAGTATCGACCCGCACAGCACACCCGCACCAGATAACAATCAGGGTAAGTCAGTTCGGAGACTCATCATTCCAGTGTCTCAGTTTCACTACAGGGAGTGAACTTTTGTCCACGATAGTACAACATTTAGTGAAAAAAAAAAGTTCAATTGTTTTTCTATTTTCACCCAATTTATGAAAAAGAACATTACACTACCATGGTTGAAATAATAAACAGTATTCCTTCTCCAATGACCTGAAAAATATGCTTTTCATCGGTGTCATAGTTTCAACATCAAAGTTGCCTTTTGTCCATTGAATATGTCAAATAACTTACAGGTTCAGAATAAAATCACCATTTATGAAGAGATTCAACTTACTGTAATATCTTGACCAGTAAGAGCTTGCAGGATGAAGTTTGATACAACTCTTCCATCATTCATATGCATACGTGGACCATATGTGTTGAAGATACGTGCAACCCTCACTTCAACATTTTCCTGCCTGTGGTAAGAATATGCCAATGTCTCTGACACTCTTTTAGCTTCATCATAACAGGCACGGGGACCTGAAAATCATCAATCAATGAGAGAATGGTATAAAAAATTCCTGAATTAATATCTTTTACTAATAATTTTCAACTTATCATCTAAAATATCATTGCCCAAAACAGTTACATTAACAGTCATAGACTGAAAGGAAAAGACAAAAAGAAGCTTGGTGCACTAACAATAAACTAATAAAGTAGTACTGTAGACTGTAAAAGGAAGAACATTACAGTAGTTGTTGGATGTGTTACATTGAACAGTACTGCAAAGTACTGTACTACTATATGTTTCAGAAGTTATTATGTGGCAGGACTTAAGAGAAACACTGTTTGGTGTTTTATTGTCTGTCACTTTATACTGTACACCTGCAGGGTCTGAGAGAGCCATTTGAGTAAGTTCTCTTAAGGGAAACACTATTGTTTTTTCATTTATGACACTTGAAGAAAGTGTACCTGTGCACCCTCAACTCTCTGTCCAGGTAACCTCCACTGTCTCTGAGCCGAGGTTGCCAGTCTATTTATCTACAATTACCTTGAGTCCGTTTAACCTCGCTCACCCTATGATAGAGATACCAGCGAAGAGATTTCTTATTAATATAATAAATAATTATGTTATACATTTTATATGTGAGTATCTGTGGTGCATTTTATATAAACATAATTGTGCTGTTATACTGTAACTATAAAACAAAGTACAGGTATTCATAAGTCAGACTTATGAATACCCGCCGATACGAACGAGGTTAAACTTGAAATTTACATTATTTTATTTACCTGATGACATATTTTTCACTTTCATTTACTGTATTTTAGATGTGTACAAAGTCTTAGGCTATGGTATGGTGATATTTTAAACATTGTTCTGTAAGTACGGTATGCACATCGCATGTGTTCCGTCTTACGTACAAATCTAACCGTACAGTGGTCCCTCGGTTAACGAACGGTTCGATTAACGAAATTTTGGTAAACTAATTACCTCCCATAAGGATCTTCAATTCGGTTAACTAACAAAACTCCGATTACCGATATCCTTACGAACAACACATTTTGTTGTGAGCATTAGCTGATCAGCTGATGGGTTAGTCTACCAATTCAGTATTCTGTTCTAAGTTTACATTCGTTTCCAGTGGAGTAAATATCAAGAAAGTTGTGCTCTTTAATATTTTTGCATATTTTATATTAAAATTATTAGTCATCTTAAATTTTTTTTAACATATTGATAATATATGCAGTACAGGGAACTAGTTTTTTGTGCGCCCATCAGCCGCTTGACTCAGCCACCAGACGTCAGTTTGGCTTTGTTGACAGTGGAGTGAACATCGATTTTGTTGGCGTCTTGAATATTTTTGCATTTTTACATTAAAATTATTGGTCATTCTGAAATTTAGTTAACATATTGATAATATATAGCGCAGTGTAGTGTTGATTTAAATAAAATAATCTTGAATTACACCTAGTGAACTTAAAATTTTATCGGTGAAATTACTGAATCAAGCATGGGTCCCCTGAAAGGTTATTTCTCCTCCACCCCCACTTCTAATTCCATCATCAACCAGGAACCTTCTACATACAGTGGGGTATGCTATAACGAATCTAATTGGTTCTAGAACCTTGTTCGTTATAGCATTCGTTCGTTATAGGATTAATCCGTTCCAGGCCCCCAAATACAACCACTTAACACTGAAAAATATAATATAAAATTGAAAAAAATTGTAAAAAAGTGCATAAATACGCATCTAAACCCCTGAAATAAAGAATATAATTAATACTTGTAATAAAAAAACAATAAATTATTAAAAAAACAAAAGAAAAAAAAATTTTGTTGTAGGAGTTTCGTTCATTATAGCATTCTCAATTTTATAGGTAAAACCGTTCGTTATAGGAATATTCGTAATAGAATCCATTCGTTATAGCATACCCCACTGTACACACCTCAAAGTAAGTGTAATTTACTGCATTTTTTTTGTACTTTGCATATACTTTTCTGTGAGCTGGAACCAATTAGCCAATATCCCATTGAAACAATAGATTCGGTTAACAAAATTTTTGGTTAACGAAAGGTTCTGAAGTGGAGGCTTATGGGCGCTTTAGATGTCTGGCTGTAGTTATCACAGAACTTTATACTAGGCAGATGAAGGCAATAAAACACCACTTACCAATAGGATTGACATGACCCCAGTAAGACTCGGTCTGTGGATGCACCTCTGGATCACCGTATACTTCCGATGTGCTGGCAATCAACACCCGAGCACCCACACGTTTAGCTAGTCCTACAGAAAGAAGAAATTCTTGTATTCTTTCATCTCTATCCTTTAATGATTCATATTAACTTCTAATGACCATTAAGGAGCATCTAAGAACTTTAATAAGGAAATAATTAGGTACCTTTCACTGATTGTGCTAACCTGACTAGTTCTTTGTGTCTACAATAACGAGAAATAAATGTAATTCAGCTTTTTTAACTCCTTGTTGATTTAAAAACTGTTTTGTTAATTCATGGAAAATGTGGAACATTTGTATCCACTTACACTACATACACCTAAAATATTTAATAAATTTATTTATTCTTATCTTTGTTCTTTAACCTAACTTGAAAACTAAAATCAGGTTCCACAGGTCTGATGACCTGTTACGGATAGTGTGGATGCAGCACACTGAGGACTAAGCTATTGGTACACACATGGAGACTGAGTGGTCAATATTACACTCTATTGCCTTTCACTACCCCATCCACAAAGTTAAGTACCCAATCAGCAACTTGGTTAACTGGGGATACCCAATCAATGGCCAGCTACAGATCTTGAACCAGCGATTGCTGAGTCTGAGAGGTCCACCACTCAAGGAATTAAAGGTTTTCTGTACACATTTCATGTAGAATTGCCTTCATCCATGGAAACTGAGGACTTAACTGTACACATTTCAGGTATTGTATCCCTAAACATTGCTGAAAAATTGATGGCCTAGTTTTACACCTACAGCTCTTCAGAAAATTTAAAAGTTTTAATAAATCCAAACATATTTTAAGTCAAAAACCCAGAAGTTCCTGAAATGTAATTCATGGGGTAAATATAAATTTTAGTCTACAGTGATCCTTCAGAGAGAAAGCTTTGGGAACCCCTGCACTAATCCCTTTAAAAGTATATATTTTTTATAATAAAGGCCTTCACTCCAATAAGCACTACTCCTACCATAAAAAAAATTATGATAATAATTCCTATAAATCTCTCGAAAATCCATCCTCAAGAAACCCCCAAATATATAATGAGGGTCATTCAATAAGTAACGAGATAAATGAATATAACTGCAAAAGTAATGATTTATTATTAATCATCACACTTGTACCATCTTTCTACTAGTTTTTTATTCCTGTGGGGAAAAATTCTTTTGGCTGACTCAGTAACCAATTTCTCATTTCTTTCTTCACCTCTTCATTATTCAAAAAATTATTTCCATGTAAAGCTGTTTTGAGCGGACCAAACATGTCGTAGTCTGATGGTGTGAAATCTGGAATGTATGCAGGCGAGTCGGTTTTCCCAAATTTTTTAATCAATGTTCTGGTATAATGTGGGTGTTGAAACTTCGTCAGGTCATCCAGCACGATCTTCTTCCACAACAATTGTTCGACCATTCTTGAATTTTTCAACCCACTTGTAAAGGTTCGCCCAACTGATGCAATTGCTTCCATATTAAAGTGACATTCTGCAATGATTTTTGCTTGATCTTATCCCATCCGAATTTGAAAAAAATAACAGATCGTTGTTCTTCCAAGTACAAAATTCAAGTGGAACGTTCATCATTAATGCAACACTTACTTGAGACTAGTCGAATGAACTGACTAAACAAACATATGAAGATGTAGCTCATGCATTTGTAAACATGTCATAACATGGCTTCCCCCTCCCCTTTGTCATCTACATCAAAAAGTCCAGATACTTATTGAATGATCCTCGTATATTAATCATCATACATTACCTAAAACATTAATGGTTCCAACAGTATTGGTCTTGATGGTCTTGACTGGGTTGTACATATAATGTGGTGGGGATGCAGGACTGGCTAAGTGGTACACCTGATGAATAACAAGAGTAATTAAATAATACTGTACTATACCTGGAAAATATAGTACCAACTCATCATGACCAATGGGGGATTAAACAAGCCACTGGTTTCCTTTCCTTGTATTATAGAGTAAAATGGAGGGATAAAAGCTCTTTGACTTTCATACTTACAATGTACAGTAGGTATACAGTATACCTTTTGGGAAAATATGGCATGGGGAAGTCTGTAGATAAAAATATCCCAACCTTTTACCTCAATAGTAATCATGTATTATACAGCACTAAATGTGTATACAGTACTTTATATATATATATATATATATATATATATATATATATATATATATATATATATATATATATATATATATATATATATATATATATATATATATATATTATATATTATATTATATATATATATATATTATTGTGTTGTCAATAATAAGAGAAACAATTGAGACCCTGCAATTGTGAGTAGGCAGAAAGTCAGATCAGCAACCTGGGACTTGGTCACAATTTTTGTGATGACATATGTTCTTTGACTTTTCCATTTTTTATTCACGGTTTCTGTGCTGGTTCATATATATTTAAGAAAGTGGTTAATGTTTTAAAGCAAATTCTATTGAAATATAAATGGCAAATGAACAAAAATGAATATAGAGACTTAAATGAGGTAGGTTAGGGAAAGGTACTTTGAAAATGTATTTTATTTCCATAGACTTTATTTACTATTAACCGACCCTCTGGATTATCCGTCGGCCCCTTCCCCCCCATATGTGGTCGGTTAATCGAGGTTTTACTGTTCAGTATACTCTTGATTTAACGGAATCCGATATAACAAACTCTCGATTAAGCGGATGGGATTTTTTCCACTATTAGATCACTAAATCGAGATTAATTCCGTTAATATGCTCACACCTATTGAGACACCTCAGACACATATGTACATAGAAACATTATTCATGGCTTGCCTTAACCTATGGGGGTACAGTGTTTGTTTTCAAATTGTTCTATTATTTCCAAATTTTTTTCCAATTCATAGCCACACTCTTCTCACTTCAGTACTTACTTGACCGAGAGGTAGCAGTGAACAACACACACGGTGGCAGCAAGACACAGACTGAGCAGATGTAAACAAATCCCACGTGCCAACCAGCATATTGGTGACGAATTTAACAGAATCACACTCAATTTAGTGAACTAGTTCACTAAATTGAGTGAAAATAATGGAAAGTTCGATTTAGAGGATATTTTGATTTAATGGATAGGGTTGGCTCGAATTGGTTCATTAAATCGAGAAAATACTGTACAGTATACACTGCACTGTACAGTACTAGACAGTTAAATACATGTCTGAGCACTTTTAAGGCAAATGGAATAAAATTGTCCTTGATATGTTTTCACCAATTATAAACTTACTACCGGTAGTCATTAGGCCTATCCTTGGTAAAGTACGTTATAGATAAGAATCATAGAGATGAACTACAATATGTGGCTGTCACACATATCTGTTTGGCGAGGACAGCAATGAATAGTTGTTACAGGTATTTCAATCACAAATTAAATATTATGTCTTCAACTCGAACATGTACACTCCGCTGCCAAGCAACACAAGCCATTTACTCTCTAAACATCCTTTCATGTTTACTAATATTAATACTAATATAATTGATGGAATGGATGGTACGGAACTCATAAGGAACCCTACTAAGATAAGGGAAGGAAATTTTTATATTTAAGATTATACAGTACAATGGTCCCTCGTTCCACAGAGTCGTTCGTTAACCGAAAATTTCGTTCACCGAATCTATTATTTCAATGGGATATTGGGTAATTGGTTCCAACTCACAGAAAAAGTAAACTGTACATACAAAGTACTGTATACTGGTAATAGAATTAACAAAACATTAAATATAAACTAAATACAGTACTGCATACTGTACAATAATAAATAAAAAACAATAGAATACTGTATTTTAACTTACTTTGAGGTGTGTATGTCGTATTTCCAGCAGCTTTGTTTACATATCAAACAGCTGATTGTAGAGGCAGTCGATGATCACATGCCATTTTCTTTACAGAGTGCATTGGTTCTAATGCCTTCTTAGTGTTTCATAATAATTTCTGCACTGTATATTATCAATATATTAACTAAATTTCAGAAAGGCCAATAATTTTGATGTAAAAATGCAAAAATATTCAAGAGACCAACAAACTGGATGTTCACTCCACTGTAAACAAAGTTAAACTGAAAAGCGTTATTGGGTGATTCAATCAGCTGATTGGCGCACAAAAACTGTTCCCTGTACTGTATATATTATCAATATGTTAACTAAATTTCAAAATGACCAATAATTTTAATATAAAAATGCAGAAATATTCAAGATAACAACTTTCTTGAAATTTAGTCCACTGGAAACAAATGTAAACATAGAACTGATTACTGTATTGGCGGACTGGCCGATCACTTGATGCGCACAACAAAACGTGTTTGTCGTAAGGATTTCGTTAATCGAAGTTTTGTTCGTTAATCGAACTGAAAATCCTTATGAGAGCTAATTCGTTAACCAAAATTTCGTTAATTGAACCGATTGTTAACCGAGGGACCACTGTACGTATAACAAGTTACATTCATGACATAGATTACCAGTACAGGTTATACAGTTTATTTTTTTCTTAAATCATGTAACATGCAGTACAGTATTATTTTTTTCAAAATAAAATTTTCAAATTCAGAAGAAAAAAACACTGAAGTCTTCTTTGAAGAAAATTTTCCTGTTTCAACTCTAATGACAATTATCCTGAAAATTTCAAATAATTTCCAACTTAAATGGAAATATCACTGTTCCATCCCACAGGCACAAGAAACAAGACCGTTAGTGGAAAAACTAACTGATGACCTTAGTAATTTTTGAAGAGATACAACAGAAAAGTGTAAAATAACCATCCAGCTTAATACAGTACAGTAGCACCCCGATTTACGCAGTCAATTGAACCCACAGGGTACCGCGGAAAGTGAACAACAGGACATATGGGATTAATTCCAATAGCGACTGGCCCGACCCCCAAACTCCACAATACCTATGTTGTAGTAAAAATAACATCTACATTTTATGATGGTATGCTCACACAATTAATATTTAAGAGAAATACAGTCACCAGGTTAATGTCCATTCAAATAATGGACTCAAATCCCAACCCCCCCTCTTCCCAGCTCACTAGCTCCTACCTCTCTGAGAAGTGATTGGGTGAAACACTAGATTTTAACGTTTAGTAATAAATAATACCTCAGACTAAAGTTAGGATAATATAACTGACATTTCTGGATTCCTTGCAGGTCAGGGAATATTTTGAATGTAAACTTCATATATTTTGCACAAAAGATAAACTATTTGCTTTGTGTAAACCAAATTATTACATTAGATCTAAAATTTGTATGTCTAATGCAAAATCCGTGATGTTTATATTCAAAATGATCATCATATTGTAAGAATTCCAGCAATGTAAATTATATTCTGGCCGGGTAATTTGTATGAATTTTATGAGCTAAATAAAAAAACAAAATTATACTTCACGCGTATATGAGTAGATGCACTGCGGAAAGTGAAAGTCCGGTTCTGGCAAGGTACAGTGAGTTCTGCTATAACGCGTGTTTTGATAACTTAATTTGCTCTAACGTGATTTATGAATAGAGGAACGATATTTGTTTAACGCGAACGCTTGTTTGCTATAACGATTTTTGCTTACTATTTCTCCAATTTTGTGGTATTAACTGTGAATATGGTAAAGAAGAATATCTCCAAGAAGCATTCTGGTGATAGAATTCCCGGTGATGATCGTAAATGAAAGGCTATAACCCTTGAAGAGAAGCTTGATGTTATCAACCTCAAAATCACCCTTTTCCCCCATCAAGTTACATTCATATTTTTTCAAGGTAAAGTGTTACATTTACTGTATGATTTCATTATTAGATATGAATGTAACATTTATTTAGACTGTGCTCTCCTTTGTGTTAGGCTAACTACTAAATTTTTTCGATTTCGAGTAATCTGCACCTAACCCTATTTTCTCCATAAGCCCTGTTATTTCTATTACGCGATTTTCTATAACACGATATTTTACAAGAACACAATTATCGCGTTATAGCAGAACTACCTGTACCGCGTAAATGAGCGTGAGCGGAAAGTGAAACCGTGTAAAGCGGGGTAATACTGTACTGTACAAACAAGACTCACCTGGTCAGCTTCAATGTACAGTGGATTGACAATATCATGGTGGATAAGTTCAAAATTCTCGTGCCCAATCCAGTGTTCCACATTCCTCTTCCTCCCAGTGAAGAAATTGTCGACAACTATGACTTCATGGCCCTCCATCATCAGTCTATCAACCAGGTGAGAGCCAACAAAGCCGGCCCCACCAGTTATCTGCCAATGTCAGCACATTAAGTCTTGTACAATGGGAAATAAGTGGAATTCAATCTGAAACATCTATTCAAATATCCAGATACAGAATCCTGAAAGTGGAAATAGACAAAGTACAGGAATTACTCAATCATACAACTACAGTACTCTGAACACCCAAGAATATGAATTAACCAAATATGTTTAAGAGTACATATCATACAGGTACTGTATTCACATATGTACAGTATCCATACCCTGGTCCGAATTAACATGATGTACCGATTAAGTCTGGAATATCTTAAGTGTCTCCCCTGTCCCCAGTGGAAAAAATTGATGCCAATATAATTGTATCACAATAATAATGTAATAATGAACACTATCGTATTCAAGCTCTAATCCTCATTAGTTTACAAGAACACCAGAAAGAGAATTCATTTGTATTTTTCACCCCAAATTTAACACAACTTCACTTAAGAAACCAACCCAGGCACAGGTCATCGACCCACAACGGGGCCAAGGGGGCGAAAGAATGAGTAAAAAGAAATTAAAAATAGAAAAGGAAAAGATTAAATTAATCTACACCACAAAGGTGCCAGAAAACCAGCTTTTTAAAGTGAGACATTGTATGAGTATGGAAACACAGAAGAAGGCAGAGAATTCCACAGTTTGGCTGTGTGAGGAAAAAAGGAAGTACTGTACTATAACGGGTTATTCTAGTGTGACCGACAGCCACAGAGAAACTGTGGGCACCGTGGACAAGACAAGTGTTACGAGCCACGGCGTTGCCGGCGGTACACAGGATGCCAAATCCACCGAACATTGCCCGTTAAAGTACCTGTAAAAGAGAGAGTGAAGCAACATTGCGACAAAGAGAAAGGGAACAAAGATTATCAGCTAAATGAGCAGAGTCAATAAGACGAAATGCCTTTGATTCCACCCTATCTAACAGCTGGACACAAGAGCCACCCCAGATATGAGAGCAGTACTCCAAGTTAGGACCAATGAATCCCTTAAAAACTAGAAGCAACTGCTTAGGAGTGAAGCAGCTACAGCATCTGTACAGCATTCCCAGCTTTCGGGAGGCAGCTTTAGCAATGTTGTGGATGTGTGTCTTCCATGACATATTAAAGGAAATGGTGAGGCCTAGTATATCTATTTTAGAACTTGGCAGAGTGATTGCGTCCTGAAATGTGATTGGTGGGAGATCATCTAATTTGGAAAGTGTAATTGGTAAATACTGAGTTTTATTACTAATGAAATTAACCAGGTTTGTACCTCCCCATTTGGAGATGCTGCACAGATCCGCATTGACAGATGAAATGATATCAGCTCTAGAAACAGATCTAGTTTGAGAATTAGGGGGAAGGGAAAATGTGAAGAGTGAACAGTAGAATCATCAGCCTAAGAATGGATAGAATTAGTCATAATGTGAAATAAATCATTGATAAAAATAAGGAAGAGAGTAGGTGAAAGAACAGAACCCTGTGGGACATCACTATTGGTAGAGAAAGAGCGAGAGATCGATCCCTCGACAACAACTGCCATGGCTACCTAAGCTCAAATTTTACCCCACACACTGTATTCTCATAAAAAAAATATATATTTTATTGCACTTATCAAATTACCAGTACAGAATATTTCCATGACACTATCCAACATAGCATCTATTTCATTTTCAATTCATTGATCACTTCTAAATTTTGGGTCCTTGAGCAGTCAATTTATCTGCCTTATTTTAGTGCCACCAACAGCAGCTCTTCATCAAAAAATTTAAAGATATCTCTACAAGGGAAGTTATCAAGTGCATTGACAACTTCCAACTTCATTCATTAATCAAGTTCCTTCCATTATGACTCTTTCAAAGTTTCAACTATGTATACTTGTTCATAAAACTCAACATATATTTCTTCATCTTCTTATACATTACAAGTACTTAAACTACTGAACTTTACTGTACACTTACCAAAATTCTCTTGCGATCTTTGAAAGTTAAGAACTTGACCTCTGGATATTTCTTGGGGATTCTGTATTCTATGTCCTTTAACCGCTTCTCCAGCTCTTGAATCTTTATTAGCGCCTCATCCAAAGTGTTAATATTAGTGACATCCATAGAAGGAAAGGGGACTTGTGCTGTAGAGGCAAGTTTTTCATCTCCAGTTTCCGAGTAGTGTTGGGCCTTATCACTCACAAATGCTATTTCCATATCACTGGGTTTCTTTGATGACACGAGAAGTGACCAGTTGAAAATTGCTGCTGGAAATAAAAAATATATACAGTATAGGCAAAATAGAAATACTGTACAGTATACTGTTAATACAATCAGTTTCATATTCCACACTAACATATTTTCATGCTGAATTTATTGTTTATATGCTTTATATTCATGGCAAATAATTTTTTCCTATTTATTATGCTGATGAATATCTTCCAACTTTCAAAATCAATACTACAATAAATAAAAAGATATGCAGCACATCAAATACAGAGTACAGTACAGTACAGTACAGTCAGTCCCTGATACTGTATACAAAAGGGTTTCATTCCTTAAAACAATTTTCGTAAATAGAATTTTCATGAATTGAATCATATTTTTCCATAGATCCCCCTTATAAAAAAAAGTTGTTTAAAAAAATAAAATAAAAAATCCTTAAGTGCCACAAAGCATGGTCGTAAAGAAATTTTTTGGTGTGCACAGCAATTATAAGCAAATAATTAATGTGCTGTAAAAAGTGAAATACTGTACAGTTAACCCTCACTTTACGCGGTCCCGCATTCCGCGTTTCCACGTTAACGCGGTGCCTTGCCAGAACCTCACGTGCTCACATTACGCGGTACGTGAACCCCATTACGCGGAGAGTGTCCGGCGCGACGCTATTTTTAGATTCGCCCCACCCGCCCGCCTGCCTCTCCCTCCCCCTCCCTCCGCTTGGGCAAGCGGCGCGGTAAGGTTGCGCAGTGTGTGTCTTTGTTGCGTTATCACTGACGTCATATGACGTATCAGACCTGTGATTGGCCATGCATCCCTACCCCCCTCTGCTGCTAGCTGTAATTGGCTTAAAGTATTATGACGTGTCCACCCGGGGGAGGGAGGGAGGGGGAAAGAAAGACGACGCTTGACCTAGCCGCGGCAGTTTCATCCCTCAAGGCCACTCCGTGTAAACGCGCATCCATTGTTCCGTAAAATGGCTTCCGCCGGACCACCACCCCCAGAGAGAAACCTTTCCTTACCTGGACCCAGCGGCACTAAACCAAAGAAGACACGACGTTCCTTAAGCTACGAGGTGAAGTATAGCATCATCCAAGAGTTGGAGAAAGGAACAAGGCAGGTTGATTTGGCGCGCCAGCATGGGGTGAACGAATCTACGATCCGGACTATAAAGAAGGATTCAGCCAAGATAAAGGAGCACATGAAGATCACAAAGTCTACAGGTGCTTCTATGATCAAGTATTTTCACAACCAGGTGCTTCTCAAGACAGAAAAATTACTTGTGAGGTACTTGGTGCGTCAGGCGCGACGGAACATGGCGGTCGACACGCGCTCTGTTAAGGACTACGCACGTGAACTGTACATGGCAGTGGCACGAAAGATGGGAACTTCAGAGCCCAAACCCTTTAATGCTTCCTCTGGGTGGTTACAGAGGTTTAAGATCCGGAACAAGATCACCAATATAAACATTGGTGGTGAAGAAGCGAGTGCTGATCGTGCTGCGGCTCGGGAATTTCCTCCGTTTTTACGTGAGATTATGGAGGAAGGACAGTACAGTGACGACCAGGTGTTTAACATGGACGAATCTGGTCTTTTCTGGAAAAAGCTACCTTCCAAGTCCTTCGTTGTGAAGAATGCCAGCAGGATTCGGGGCCGGAAAATGCAGAAGGAACGCATCACCGTCCTGTTTACCACCAATGCCTCCGGTACCTGTAAGCTCAAGTTATCGGTGATCCACACAGCCCGCAAGCTGCACGCCTACAAGAGCATGGACATGACCAAGCTAAATGTCCACTGGCTGACCGCACGTAAGGCATGGATGTTCTCTACACTGTCCCTCTCCTGGTTTGATGACTGTTTTGTTCCCGATGTAAAGAAATTCTGTGAGCGACAGAATGTCCCATTTAATATTTTGTTGCTGCTGGACAACGCACCAGGACACTCGCCCCTACTGTTAGATCGTCACCCCAACGTAAAAGTGGTCTTCCTTCCTCCCAACACTACGCCTTTAATCCAGCCCATGGACCAGGAGTTGATTTGCAATGTGAAAGCTGCATTCTCAACAAAAAAATTCCAGCTCCTGAACGACTACACCAACACCAGGGAAGAGTTGCGTAACCTGAGTGACACCACCACCGATAGCAAGAGCGACGAAGATGAGGAACAACAGTTAGAACAGCAAAAAATACTCTTCAAACAATTCTGGAGAGTATTTAACATCAAGAAAGCTGTGGACTTCTTGGTGGAGTCATGGGATCAGCTGTCTATTGCTACAATTCGTCACGCATGGAGACATGTGTTGCATGGAATACCAGGTGAGAGGAGGAGTCAATCTGTGACTGGTGAGGTTCAGACTGTTGCAGTAGCAGTGGACCTTGCCAGAGAAGCTGCGCAGACTGTTACAGTTCCAGGCTTCTCCGAGACCACCAACGACGACATCCTGGAGGTGATCAGAAATCCTGAAGTGACTGCCGACGAGATGTTGGAAGAAGAACACGCCAGTGAAGAGGAGGAAGAAGGTGCGGCAGTCTCCGAAGAACACAATTTAAGTCATAGTGATATTAAGGGTGCCATGGAGTGTGCAGAGAAGATGAAGTCCTTCCTTTCCCGCGACAATGACGATGACCGCTATGAAGTCTTCCATACCCGGCTGGTGCAGGCTATGGAGCCGTACATCAAGGTGTATCACGACAACATCAACGCCAGCCGTCAGCAAAGCATAACAGATTTCTTCGCCCGCAACCCACCACAGCCAGCCCAAGCCAGTGATAGTGACAGTGAAGTGACTTTGAGGGATTTGTCAGGGAAGCCCTGACAACTGTAAGTGACAGTGATGGTGATTCACCTAGTAATGGTGATTCACCTGAGGGCCAGTAATCTGCCCTCTGCCTCGGAACCAGCCTCCATCCCCGTATGCCGACCCATCTCTTCTACTACCGTAAGTTACACCTAATTTTTAGTTTTCTAACCTTACCTTTATTTTTCCTATGTTAACCTTTATCTTTCCTACCCTAACCTCTTCTATATTACTTGTTTTTTCATACCATCATAAAGTTAAGATAAAATTTTTAATACAACATAGTTGTGTGTCGTCAAAAATTGGAGTTTGGGGATCGGCCCGGACTCCATTTCAATTAATCCCATACGTTATGTTATTCACTTTACGTTTCACTTCCCGCGGTACCCTCCGGGTTACATTAACCGCGTAAAGTGAGGTCCTAAGTCGAAAATGCTTAAATAATATAGAAAATCTAAAATGGGTGTCTCTTTTTCTTCTCAGCACCACAAAACTCTCACTTTTAAGCTTGCCAGCCATTTTAAAGGGATTTACAAACGAAAATTTTGTTAGTACACAGCGCAATCACTTATGATGGGACTCGAAAATACGTAATTTGACCAAATTTTGGTATGACTGAGGCGGTCGTATGTCCGGGTGGTCGTAGGTCGAGGAGTAGCTGTAATTATATCATGCTAAAATAGATTTGATTAAACCTTGTGCCCCGGACACCCTCACCCGGGGATATTTCAGAAAAAAAATATATCACAGTAAAAAACTGGTATTTAAGACATAAAATTGGTGCTTTCACTCCAATTGTATTGTTGTGGCTATCAAGCCTGTGGTCCCTTATGTCCATGGCCACCATGGCCACGACCTGGGGAGGTGGAGAGGGGGATTGAGCACCATTGTCTGTTTCACTGTCCTCACCACTGGCCAAGGTGAGGAGGTCAGTTATTTTGAATGGAGGGGAAGACCTTAATTCTTGGGAGGTCTGTTATTTTTGCCCGGTGCATTCACCTTAGTTGCTTGGGGAAGGTCAACTATTTTGGTACTGTACAGGTAATGTGACAATGCAATATTTTTTAATGTCTAAAATAAATTAGTGAAGGATCGTCTGGGTCAGCTTCCTCCTCATCACTCAATGCAGTACTATATCAATGCCACTCAAATCAAGCAACTCTTGATGAATAGCACTACTGTTGAGGGTTATGAGATGTCAAAGGACATGCATCCATATTGATAGTTGGTAAGTAACTGGACCACCAGGCTTGAGACAAAGATTATGTGCGAAGTAAATAAATATCCCAAAACAAAGTATTTTGTCCCACATAGATATTCAAAATATGCAGCAAAAATTAAAAACGTTGACGAACGTCACCACGGTTTTAAGGGTTAAGCTGGGAATGATATGTTTACCAGGTCGTGTTCTAACTTGGTGTATAAAGGTTCGGTAGTACTGTACAATATTAATGTTTGGGAATATTTCTGACAAATTTTCTACAAGTTATGGTAAATATCTGGAATGACTCCACAGACTTAATACAATAGTTTGTCCTCTTTGGGAAATGTTCAAAAACATTTATATAAAATAAAAAATATATAAATTTGATTAAAGGACTGGAAACAACACTTTGAATTTATAAATACTGAAAAGTAATGTAATGCCTTTTTTGCATATGACGAGTTAAAAATAAAAATATATACTCCTGTATATAGTAGTACTGTACAGTACTACAGTTTGGCAGTATCTAAACTAAGAATATACAGTACTGTACTGTATTTCAGTGACTTTTTTCTTAATTCCTAAAAGAGCTGAAAATAGTGGCATGACCTCATTGTGACCTCATATATATTTGATGCATAATGATTTTTTTAGTAAAAATTTTTCACTGAAAATGTAGTTTCCATATAAAATATCCAAATGTGATACTGTAAAATGATTTTCCTTCTTTATACTACTGCCTACTTATTTTGCTGATTTGTCAAATAAATTAAAACAATTAATAAACTATGGCTGTGGTTATCTAGAATATACCTTTACTTTTACTTTATCCTCTTTGCTATTTTTTATTTTTTTGGCTTAGTGGTTCATTTCTGCTAAAATCAGACAGTGTTCGAGGATATATTTTTTTAATTGATGAAAGCAATTAGTAAATGGAATACTGTAGAAATACCTGTAATATAATACCACAGGGGGAAATGGTGAAGGACTATTTAAGGACAATGGTCTGGGTTATACAGCCACCCAACTAAATATCTATGGTAAAAGTGGTAACTGTTAGCCCCAGAAGGACTTTATGGAATTGCATAAAATTTTTAGCTGATCTTTGGATGATACTACAGTAATAAAATCGAAACGACAACATTGTATTATTTTTTGTTTACTTTTTATTTTTAGCCAATCCTTCGATCATAAATTACTTGTTATTGGGCAGAGCATGAAAGAAGAGGGAAATAACAGGGTAAAAACACTGATCATATGGCAGTAATTTCACATCTCCACACCCTTTGTTGGCGAAGAAATTTAAATATTTATTGTAATTATGGTGCCTTGGGATCTCCCATGGCAACTATGTATTAGTTCACATAGTCTGCTATGCAGGAACGTCCACGATGTTTGTTTACTGTCAAAAAATGAGCAGAATCTAATCGGGCGTGTTTATTACGATTTATATTGGATTAAATGCGTAAATTTTTACTAGAGATGTTGTTTGATGATAGTAAGAAAATTGAAATGATAACGCACAAGTTAGGAAGCTAGATGAGGATAGGTAGGTTAGGTAAGGTTAGATAGGTTTGGTTAGGTTTAGATTCTGTGTATTTTTATTTCAATTTTCATGTTCAGTATCATGCAAATAGTAGCTCCAGAAAGTTTGGTTAAATTCCGTAAGTTATTTCTGGTGCTAGCGGTCTCCTCTACCTTACCTTTACCAAATCTATTTCTTACCTCAGGAGTTAAGCAAATCAGGTGGAGATATAGGACTTTTTGTAGGCTAATATGGAGGACTTCACTACCACTTCCCTCGTCTCAATAACAGTAAGTTCACCCACGGCAGGTATTACGTTATGCTAGGTTAAGGTTAGGTTAACTTAACTTGAACTTTTAAAAAACACTTTTTAACACATTTGCCATAACTACTACAGTAACCACTATAAAACACAGTGAAATTGCAGCATTTTTAAATTCATTTTCAGTGAAAAATCAGCGGCTGTGAAGTTTTAAATAATTACCCTTTTTGTACTCAGGTTTTTTCTCTAGTTTTTCCTGTAAATCAACCCACCACAGCCACCTGCCTCCTTCATGACTGAGACCACAAAGCAGGTAATGTAGCAAATACAATATGGGGTCCGACTCATTACCCAAATGTACCCAAATGTAGCTGCAATGAAGTCAAATAATGGTCCTACAAGAATAAATTAGACTGCCAATCACTTCTCAACTAGTATTTGGTGTCACGAAGTCACAAAAAATTGGTAAACTTAATTTAATCTGAATTAATAGATCGAGTGCATGTACCTAACCTAACCTAACACAACTCAGGTTAAATTAAGTTTACCAATTTTTTGTGACTTTATGACACCAAATAATAATCGAGAAGTGATTCACAGCCCAATTTACGCTTGTAGGACCATCATTTGACTTCATTGCGACTACATTTGGGTAATTGCTCGCTCCTCGGTACAAGCACGCTATCTATTAACTCAGTTTAAATTGAGTATTCCAATTTTTTGTGACTTTGTGACACCAAATACTAGTTTGAGATGTGGTTGGCAGTCCGCTTTATTCATGCAGGACCATTATTTGACTTCATTGCGGCTACATTTGGGTAATTAGTCGGACCGTGCAATATGCATCAACCAGCCCTGGAAGTTAAGACAGAAAACTTCCCAGCCAGCGAATAATGACCGTCCAACCTTCCTTCCTTTCCATATAATCTTACCTACCATTAGCGTAATATATAATAACAGTAATAATAATCCTGTAAAAATATACTTCCCCCCTAGGGAAGGTACCATAGGTTTAGTAGGTTCATCTTAGCTACAATAAATCAGCCCAATTTGCCTTATTCTTGAGATAACATATGTTTTTTTTGTCAATATCCATTTTGGTTAATATACAACTCGTGACAGTCAGAAGTTTGGTTATTATGGAGGGTGTTTTTAGAGTTTTGTATGCTGATTATTTTCACTTCTATTTATTTTCTTGGGCAAATTCTTAGTTTTCTAGACATAGGCGAGTTAAGATATAGGTTAGGTTAGCACATGATTTCACCCACATTTATATTTTTCCCAACATAATACAGTATTCTCTAATAAATTCGGTAAAATGTGGGTAATTTTTTAATTATTTTCAATGAAAATCAGCGGACGGTCATGATCTGAATAATTACCTTAATTTTTTTCTAGGTACCTTGGTAACCCATGCGATTGTACCAGAAGAAAAAGTTAAAATTTTAATTTCGGTCATCCCTGTATTTATTAGCCAACCTAACCTAATGTAACCTCACCAACCTAACCTAGCCAAAGAACCCAAGAGCTATAATTATCTAACCTTAACCAGAGACCTACTGATTTCAATAGTTAAATTTCTAAGATTCCCCGGATGATCGAAACTAAAATAATACCGAAATAAATATTTTTATTAATCAAGCGGTTCCATATTTATCAACTATAGTACCAATAAAATTGCTGTATGTTTCTAGAGATAAAGCTGGCTCTAAGGCAAAGCTAATTGGTAAAATTTTAGTTTCAGTCATTCCTGTATTTTTATATCCAAACTATGTGATTTCCAACAGATTTGAAGGTCCAAACCATTCTAAAACCACCGGAAAAACAGCTTGGATTTCTAACCTAACCTAATCTGGTACCAGTATTATTTTAGTTTCAATTATCTGGGAATTGGTTAGGTTACATTAGGTTGGTTAGGTTAGCATAGTTTGGATATCTAAATACAGGGATGAATGAAACTAAAATTTTACCCCTAATCTAACCTAACCTAATTCCTAAGATACCCAGGATGAATGAAACTGAAATAATACCAGCTAAACACGGAAAATAGGTGACATTTTTTCCCCAACTCAAAATATGTTGGAGAAAAAAAAATGAATGAGCAGATGTTTTCTGATCATACCATTCCCTACACCTTCAATTTATGAAGAAAACCCCAATGAATTACCTTATCATATTTTAAGAACGAATGATTTGTTGAGTGCTGTGTTGTACCAGTAATACCACAACTTAATACTTTACTGCTTAAATCTGACTACGGTAAATTCTTTTATTTATTTGCCAGGCTGCCAAAAATACACAGAAAATAAAGTTAAGGAAAAACAGCTGACATTTCTTAAGTCTGATATTTTATTTCCATTTTCCCCGAGCTCCCTAATTTCTCGGAGTTAACTTGTGATACAAACTTAATAAAATATCATCGTAAAATCACTACCCCATATACGCACTTAATACTGTTGTTTATAACTGCATACCTAATATCCTTATATATATGTGTGTGTGTGTGTGTGTGTAAAATGTATCAATGAGCATATGACGAAACAAATGGAATTTTCTTTATTCTATACTCCACAAATACAGAGGAAGTAGCCTAGGATTTTGTTCAGCTCACCTGCCAGAATAAAGGCAACAACGGTGAGGGAGGTAAACCAGCGCTTCATCGTTTTCACAGTAACCATACCACTAAATGGCTACAGGCAACAGAAGTGACGTCCCCACCACTGGTGCTGCTGCTGCTACTACCTCTAACACGCACAGGGCTACACACACCACCGCCACCCTCACATGACTGAGAGCTAAACAACAACACTCGCCCCTCGCCCCTCGGCCCGGTCTCAGTGACTCGACAATCCATCCCGACTCGAACCCCCGCCTCACACATCTAGGGTTCATGAATCTTGCACACATATCATTAGATAAAATAATGTCAAAATGAACTATTTCATTTCTGTAAAAATAATTATTGCAATGTTATAACATTTATAACTTTTTGTAATACCCCAGAAGGGGGTGGCAAAGGAGAGGGTGGGAGTAGTATACTACCCTGTCCTTTTGAAGTAATAGTTTTAGTGTCAATGAAGTATTTCAATTTCAATTAGTTAAAATACAGATAACATTTATTCAGTAAAAACGTTACATTAGCTCAGATTGGTGGATAATAGATGCACAAGAAAGCCGCTATAAACTCCATTTTATTTTAGTACTATAAAGAAGATTAATTTGTTACGCACAGTAGAAGTTACACTAGAATACACATTACTTGCTTTATACTTGTGTAGCCGACCCCGCGAATTCCCCAGTGTATGCCACGTGGTCTAGGTCAACCAGCGCCGCCTTACATGACGGAGGTCAACTATTAAGCCAAGCCTACCTCCGCTATATAAAATCTCACCTCGTGGTGACCTACCTCTTTCTACCTACAGCCAGTCTTCAAGCCAGAGTTGCCAGATGGCCGTTTCCACGGCCAAATTTCTCTAATTAGGCCGTAAAAAACTTCGCCGGGCCGTGGAAAAATGGATGGTCACGGCCAAACTATTTGGCGTAATTTTGTAAAACACGTATTAATTCCTCATCTAGTGGATTTTGAAGAAAAGTCTAGCAGATTTTCAAATTTCACGATGAAAATGCTGGCTCAGTGACCTCACCTTGTCATGACCTCACCTAATCAGTGACCTCACCTCTTCACATGTTTACGTGACCTACTGAGCTGACTGATCTTTCTAGTTACTACATAGGAACATAAGAAAATAAGGAGTCTGCAATAGGCCGGTTGGCCTGTGCATGGCAGCTCCTGTCGAGATTATTACCACTCTCTATCATCCATGAATCTATCTAGCCTCCTTTTGAAACTTTCCAGCGTTCCAGCACTTACTACAAAGTTGCTTCGCTTGTTCCACTTAGTTCCACTACCTTAGTTGTTCGTTCTCATATTTGAGTTGTTCAGGCTGAACGTGTCCAGCATATGGGTTAAGCTTCAGAGCTTACAAAGTCATCTGAGTTACTTTCTGAAATTCCGAGTGCTAGTTTTCAAAATGTCCACTAGTAAATGGAAAGGGTCCCACGACAGTGGCAGAAAATATAACAAACCAGGGGACGATGACGAACTAGACGTTTTTGCTTACGCCAACTGGTGTTATCAAGTTCTCCACCATTATCATGCTCCACCACCATTTCAGATTAAGGTAAATCTTCACTGTAGATTATAGATATTATGTTTATGTAATTATTGGGCTCTCAATTCAAAGTGAAAAGTTGGTTTTATTACGACATTTTAAGTGGATATTGTAGGGGATATTTTTATTTTGAGTGGATTGCAAAAATATCCTTGTGCTTCCCATCCAAAAAGTTTTGGCCGTAAGATGGCGTGAAATTGGCCGTGAAGCTTGTCGTACATCTGGCAACCCTGCTTCAAGCAACACCACTCCTGCCTGGCGGCCCTCGCTCCAGCCGGCAACCATGGCGACCCACACCTCGTGGTGACCTACCTCTTTCTACCTACAGCCAGTCTTCAAAGCAACACCTCCTCCTGCCTGGCGGTCCTCGCTCCCGCCGGCGACCCACAAGCTGGTCCTCCTCTGAGCACCCTCACCAACTAGCTCTCTCTACATCACGCTTGCAACCACACTGCCACTTCCCAGCACCAAGCTGCACTGTACATTCAATATAATATGTATACAGAGAGCACATTGTGAGTTTCCTTTCTCCATCCCATCCTGAGTGTGAACCAAATATCACATAACCCCACACTTGTACGTTAGGTGAGGAGCAAAGTAAACTTTGTCTTATATATGTGTCGTTCACTATCAAATGTGCATGAAACAGTATTATATGAATATCAAATTAATTTATTTCGATAAAATTTCCTGCTGCTGTGACCTCACATCAATATTATGAACCACGTGAAGATTAGGCAACCACAGCACAGCGGCTTATTTCACCTAATGAATAAGCACACTAGCTTTAGGTTTCGTTGGTTAATCGTGAGGTGGTGACATCTACGCCCCAGTTTCTCTTCTATTTATACTCACTGTGTTGTTCTTAATGCTGGAGAATATAGATTGTTGTCACCAATGTTGTGGCATAATTTGTTGAACACACACACACACACACATATATATATATATATATATATATATATATATATATATATATATATATATATATATATATATATATATATATATATATATATATATATGCAAGTGAATCACTGTAGGTGCGCGTGAGCTAGGTATATGCTGATAACCACAAGGAAAGAAGAAACACGAAGTTCCCAAGCGCTTTCGTGTAATTCATATCTTCAGGGGTGAGTACAGTCTGTACTCACCCCTGAAGATATATATATATATATATATATATATATATATATATATATATATATATATATATATATATATATATATATTTATTTATTTATTTATTTATTTATTTATATTTATATATACAGACAATGACACAACAATCTACAACAAGAACAAAACAGTGAGTATAAACAAGGTCTATTGAATATAGATCTTGACTATAAACAGAAGAGAAACTGAGGCGTAGATGACACCACCAGGAGGTCGAATACAAGTGTACACAAAACTGTGTAGATTGTAGACACTTGTAACCCTGACAACGCTATTGTAATGGTGATAGTGCTAACAAAAATGAAGTTAAACAGAACATATTAAGAGTAAAGTTGAAAATATAATATTTATATGAAATAAGCACAAACAAACATAAGCAGATATTCTATGGATTATAAATTTTATCCGTGATAAGAAATACGACTTTAAAACAACCAATACTACGTATTCTCCTCAAATTTCTCCTCAATTTTAATGTGCATCCTGATACAGTAATTAACAGTATTTTTTTTCTTCAAATATATCCAACTTTTCCTATTTTGTTCTTCCCCTGTAACACTATATTCATGATGACATACAGTTACCTCGCAGTTAATGCTCATACGCCCTACTTATCTCTCAAACGATTTGATTGATTGATACGTTTATTGTGATACAAAAAAAAATACATCTCAAAGGGATTAACTGACATAAGTTATCCCCACCCCAGTCCCAGGAATGTCCCTCTCAGGACTCGCATAAATCCCTAATACAGATATATCTCATATAATCAATTATAGTACATACAGTTACATTCTAGATACCAAATTTATATAATTCTTTAATATTTCATCTACTTTCCTATTCTTAAACGAGTACAGCCAACCTCTGTGTGTATATGTGGCCATCATCACAACAGTCACTCAGGGTATATGGTGCTGACCATAACCACACTCATTACCACCACCATTCTCAGGCACCGTTTTATTTTCCGCAGAACTGGAGACGAGAAGGTTATTAGTTACCATTGTGACACAAACTTAATGTCGCCGAATTTGTACCGAGATTTTTGTAACTAGATTTATTTTCCTTATACAGTTAGAGTAATAAGTTCAATGTACGGGATTTACAGACTTTGGGTCCAGCTATCGGGTCACTACATTGTTTTCTGGATAAATATGAGGCGCGGGTCGCTTTCTGCTGTCTAGTGACTCACATGACCGCTACAACTTTCAGCTCCGTCGTGCATGATGACCCACCCGGCATCCTGTTTTTGTTGCTGCATGGAAGATGAGAAATTCTCTGCGAACCAAGTTATTTATTTTATTATTTGTTCTGTGTCATCGTTTATTGTTTTTGTTTCTTCGTAAGACTTGATGAAAGTGAAGTGATGAGCGGTTGGTGGTTTTAATGGATTCTATGTATTGCCTATCACCATCACCAACAGTCCACCACCACCCCACTAGTCCACCACCACCACCACTACCTTCACTACCAGTCTACCACACCACCACCAGTCCACCATTGCAACATTAATCCAACACCACCACCAATATCAGTCTACCACACCACCACCACCACTCTATCACACCACTACCTTCACTACCAGTCTTAATAAATAATAAAATAAATAAATATTGAAGTGATAACCGTGGTAACATTATGAGATGTTCTTATTACCACCATGCTATTGTACTATTCCAGATGATACTAAAATGTTACATAATACTTCCTTGAGATAAATGTATAGTATATATCAGGTGCCTCAAAGAGAGCTCAGGTTCTCAACTGGCTCAGCCATGTTAATATTGTTATTATTATCCACTCTATATCTGTATTTGTCTGGCTAAATAAAATGTTTCAATCAATGTTTCAATTAATCAAACCACACCACCACCAGTCCACCATTGCAACATTAATCCAACACCACCACCACTATCAGTCTACCACCACCACCACCATCATCAACCGCCGCCTTTCACTATGAAAACAATGTCCGGTTTCTCCGCATGTATCTCATTCTCAAGGTGAAGTGGGATATTCCAAGCCCGCGGTGTCTCGCCTTCCCTAACTGGCTCCGGCTATGCTTCCACCACCGCTGCCTCCACAATTGAGGAAATTATCCATAAAAACCCCCGTATTGTGACAAGACTGAGTAACCCAAGCATCAGGGAGAGCCAGCCACAGCAAGATCCGTCACCGTGTATAAATAAGAACATGCAGCCTTGTGTAATAATCTGAAAGAGAGATTTACACATGTACCAGAATTAAATAAAAAACTGAAACGAGATAAAGGACGCTGAGTTTGTGTGTTGCGGAGTTTACGCCCACACCCCCACACTGCCTCCTGCTGCAGTATTTATTAATCCGTTTATTTTAATCGATCAATTCCTGTTTTAAGTTTATCAGTCCTTCGTCTGCCTCCTCATAATCACTATAAAAGGTTTATCTGTGACTCTCAACTTTATTTTCCCAGTCGTTAAATTTATATTATTAGCTAACGGCA